CGAGGAATCTATGATCCGTTTCTGAAATGTGGCTTATGCAGTGTTTTTTGATATTATATATATATATATCACCTTGCCATGATAGTCACTTTAAGATTTTTTGGTATTGGATATGTTCGTTTTACTTTTTTCCTTTTGGATAATGGATGAGAACCATACTTCATCCGTTCTCGTTTCTCCTTTTTTCAACCTTGTTTTCTGTCATTTGGATTACGATTCATGTCATCCTTCATTAGCATTTCCTTCTATAGTGTCTAATCAGTAACAAACGAATTCATTGAAATTTCATTGAAAGTTAACGATTTCTGGCTTCCTAAACTTCAATTTTAATTAAATCCAATTATACAACTTCAATCATTTATTTCCTGTATTTCCTTTATAACAATTGCATTTTTAAAAATCAAGCAATACGAAACTCAGAAATATTCAGGCAAATCGAGCAGTACTTTGATTTTAATACTATCGTGTTTCATAATTGAAATGAACGTTATAAATTCCTTTCTTTCCAATATCTTTATTCTCGATAAGGGATTCAGGCTCAAATTAAGAGGAAAATCCTCTGATTAAGAGGACATTTTCATTGCGATGGATGTAAGACATTATAGAAGGAAATGATTATCACCTAGAACAAACACGACCGACATTTTCTCACTGTCCTTAAAAATGTTTGGTAATATCGATCTCCCTGTTAGTAACTACCACTACACTGGAACTTCGTATTATTATATTTACAGCTTCTATCATATTGTTATGTCACCACCGCTATGTTCAACTTTTTCGCACAGTTTCTATGATATATTTCACGAAAGAAAAAAAAAAGGAAGAAGAGAGAAGTGATATAATTATACAGCTTCCTAGAAAATCGTTGCCATTCACACGTGGCACGAGGAGAGTTGAGCATGGTACGAAAACCCAATCTCTCAGATCCGCCTAGCGTTTTAGCAGCGACACTTAAGCTCCACCACTTATAATACAGTATCTAAGGCTGTTTGAAGAGTCTTCGAGGGGGTGGCGTAATGTGGAGAACGAAGGAATATGGTGTTGATAGAATTTTCATTGAAAAAAAACCTACTTTGGATAGCAATTTAATACTGTGCAACTGCATTTACGAATAAATCAGGACGATGCTGCATTGTCAGGTGGAAGTATGAGGTCAGGAGTTTGTTGCAGAATGAAAGACAAGTTTATAGTAAAGTCGTTATTCATAGTATTGTTCATAGTATTATTATTGTTGGTATTAATATTAATGTTGTGTGTTTTTATAGTGTTACCAGTATTTATGGGTATTCATTTACTATTAGCATCACCAGTAGAAACTTGATTAATTTAATTTACTGGTACTAACATACTGCTGATATTGGGAATATTAATTGAATAATGTTAATTTAATAATTTAACGATTCAAAAAGTGGATAATTCATATAATTGCTAGCTTGTTAAGTATTATACTTTTATAAAATAGTAGCATTTTCTTTATTAATAATGAATCCTGGTTTCATACTCTTATAAAATTTTGAAACGGCACACTTATTAATTATTCAAATATTTACATTAAATTGTGTTACTATAATGACGTAGTAAATTAATAATAATACTTAATTGATGCCTACTTTTAATAAACAGAATAATTTGAGAAATGTGATGTGCTAATTAAAAATTTAGGACAGTCGCAGATATGAAATTAGATAATTAAAAATATACAAATATAAAGGGATAGTTGTTGCAAACATAGAAAAGTATAATTTTTTTCTATTAAATCTCCAGAAATTCTCTCCAATGAACATACAATTTTACACGAAAGGATAGAGAAAAATTCGTGAAATGCATAAATGCTCAAAAACAACAAAAGAAGATTGCTATGGCGACTGGATCTTTTTTTCACTAAAATTCTAAAGATGCTGTATTTCTTCGATCCACAATCCGCGACCCTTTTAAACCTAGCGTGTTCTGTAGCAAAATTTACCGAACGTCGTTTTCTTGGACTAATTAATGTATGCAACTTATCTGTTCCTCTGTTTAACACTACGTCTACTACTTCTACAACTATTTCGGCCCACGCAAGGCTCCATTCTGAACTCAGGTAAAATGGAGTCTTGATTGATATTTAATTGACGCCGTTACAGGCAGTGACGATTAGTACATATGTCTCGTGAGTGGTTGAGTCTGTCTGTTGTTTAGTTAACCCGTTTGCCTCGGTGTGTCGGCATTATTTATTTATTTGTGATATTGGCAATGTTCAGAACCAGAATCCCTTCAATAACATCGTTCAACATCTCTCGTAAAAACTACTTGAACCTCATCGCAGCATCATTCCCCGAAACATTCCATTTCGATGAATGGAAACACGATACATGGTTCACCACTGTTTCTTTTTCATTAAACTGCTTAGCATTCATCCATTATAATGTATTCAATTTGTACACTGAAAAGCTATGTTTTGGAAAAATCTTGCGAGAGGAAATACAATTTTACACTTCCTAGATCAGTACACGGTTTCAAAAGGAAATCGTCTAAGTTCCACAGTTCCCAAGAAAACCAATTTAACAGTGTACACAGGAGTCAGGCAACATTTAATTCAATTAATAATCAATACTGAAAATTCCAATTTATTTCGTTTAATTATTAATGACTTTCATTGAAGATTAATTAATTAAAATCCTAAACTTGACGATTACAATTGTATAATTGCGAGTTACTATATATCAAAATTCTTACTACTAGATTCATCGATGAATCAGAAATTAAATTTATATTTATTTTAACAACTAATGAAAATTGAAATCGAAATTCCAGTTAATCCTATGTATAATTACTTCTTCATTCCAATCTCGTTTTAATCGAAATGAAATCGATACGTGATAATTCAACGAAAGTTGGCTGGCTCTGTTACACGTGCAAGTAGAAGGGAAAGAAAGTTTGGGTTCACTTTGTTCAGACAAACTTCATTGATCCATTGCAAGCCTCCTTGCTGATACAAAGAAATGCAAAGCTTGCCAATAGTTGAGAAGGAAGCGGTGACTATAGTAATGCGAGCATTTAACTCGTCCCACGCGCTTCAGTAAATAACAGAAAGAGCTTTGCGATACGCTGCCGCCTATTGTGTACGCCTTATGCATTCTAGTTCTGAAGATTGCTGACGCACTTCTGTATAGATCTGTTGAACTTGCTGTGTTTATTTGCGTGAGCCATGTTACTTTCGCCCCTGTTCTTGGATTACTGCATGCGAATGCGTTCCTTGTGTTCCGAGCATCGGCAAGTCTGTCCTTTTCTATTGCACATTTGCGCGACGATCACTGTATCGAAAGTAGGCCACGGATGTTTATGAGGTATAATACAACTTATAAAAACTGATGTTTGTATTAAGGTTAAAATTTACAAGGAATTATGGATATATTAAAAGAGTTATAATTCGATTTATAAAAACTGATGTTTGTGTTAAAGTTAAAATTTACAAGGAATTATGGATATATTAAAAGAGTTATAATTCGATTTATAAAAATTGATGTTTGTGTTGAAGTTACAATTTACAAAGAGTTACAGTTAAATTAAAAGAGTTCTAGTGAAATTGATAAAACTTGATGTTTGTATTCAAATTAAAATTTACAAAAAGTTATGATTAAATTAAAAGAGTTTTAGTGAAATTTATAAAAATTGATGTTTGCGAATAAAATTAAAGTTTATAAGAAGTTACTTATAGTTATTAGGTTAAATAGAGATATACCATGAATAAATATATCTATTTTATAATATTGTAATTCATAAATGTACTAATGGAAGAATATTGAATCAACTTTATTACAGATTGACAAGTATCTGTAATTGAAGATGTATAGTTTGAAGTAAACAGTGAAACAAAAATGGAAGTATTATATAGATAGTAGAGTAAAATATACAAGAAACAAGAGAAATTGATTGATAAATTAATGAAGTGAAACAGTTCACATTACACGTTCACATTATTGCAATATCTACTTTAACAAAGGTATTTCTTGAAAATGAAGAAATATTAAATATAATATTGGTTACTAAAAACTTGCTAGTAACAAAGTAACTCTGTCAAATGTAATTTCACAAAAATCATAAGAGAAAAGAGGAATAATAAATCTAATATCTACTAACTTGACTCTTGCAAAATTTCTAATCCCTTGTAATTGCAATTTTAATAACTTCCAATCAGTCTCTGCTGAATATTTTCTTATTTCAGTTACTTTAATATGTCCATTTCCTCACTTCAAAATTCGTATATCATCCCCAAACATAATACCCACCGTGAAAACGTTACTGAAACCAAATGAATCGCATAAACATCCGCAGCCTACCGAGCCACGCCAACGCCTAGAAACGAGAATAATCTAATCTCTCTCAG